CCAGTAACATCATTTTGGCAGGTGAACTTGATCACAGCAAAGGCAAAAATAGACCAGCACAAATACTGTATTTCTCTTTGACAAAAGCTAGTTTGAAAATAAACATATTAAGATTGCTTCCACACAGGGACGTCCACCTATATGGGCGGTGAATACCCAACAGAGGGCCTGGAATTCCAGTGCAAAACCAAAATGGGGAACATTGTTCCATAAATGTGTAAAGGAAGCTCAGGGGTTCAAATGATTATTTATTGATTATTGCTGGCATTCCAGATATCTTTCAAAAAGGATCTTTGGGATTCTCCAGGCAAATCATTAAACACTAAGCAGAATTGTAGAAACAGGTGTTTTATATCCAATTTAATTGACAGAAGAGGAAATTTCTAATGAGCAAGTGATCCAACATCAGTAAACTTTTTAATTAGGATGGTACCATTCACCACCTAACAAGCTGTCATAGTGATCTATGTTCAAGCTCTCCAAAGAACTATGAGTTCAAACATTTATAATGGTTTAACTTTAAATAAGGAAAATCACACCAAGCTTCTTTTAAGATTAGAATGCTTTAACATTTAAATATTGAACTATTGGAATCTATAAGCAATATACCTGCCTTTTATCAGCTTATTATTTTAAGGCAAAAAGGGACTGTTTCTTTGCTTTCGTAAAGAAATATCCAGAAGCTCAACTGGAAGGAACACAGTGAAAGGAAAGCAATAATTGGTTCAGGAAGATTCTCCATTTTTAATAAGATATCAAGATGATTAATTGAGTTGAGAAAAAGTACAATTATACTCTCTGGAAAAAGATTTAAGTTTAGAAAAACCCTTTTCCTTATTTGTTGTATGCTTTTAAAAGGCTAAAACATAACTTTTAATAGCAAAGAATAGCTGTTAAAGAGTAAATATCTCTGAATGTTTATAAGGAGAAGAAAACTAGCTAAATTCTTAATTCTCAAAAAGAAACTTTGCTAATACACAGTTATAAACTATAAGACTAGCAAACTGCTAACAAGCAAAGGTTGGGAAATGGCCAAAGACAGTTCCAAAAAGCTAATGAGGTAGGGGATATTAATCACGGGCATCTGTCAATTAAAAAGGACCCAATTAAAATGCAGAACTTATATGTTATACAAGAAGGACCCCTATTGGTCAAAGTAAAACAGCACATTATACAACACCAGAAACTTTAACTCAGATTATAAATCTTTATAAAATTCAGCAAAAAAATTCTGATGGATTAAAATGAAGAATAATAGATGGATTCAAGGTATCTACAAAAGCTTTATGCTATAGGCTGTTTTAGAACATTAGAAAGAGCATGTATAGAGTTTAATTCTTTGGAATATCATTGTAATGATATATTTTTCCATATTCTTCATATTTTATATACCCTTAATGGAAGTACGCTTATAGAAATGCTATTAAGAGTGCTTTTATACACATACGTGCATTTATCAATGTAAAGAAACCATTTTTGTAAAGGGAACAGTTAGATTTTGTACTGAGAATGAACTCGGCCTGAAAGTTAATTCAAAGGTGAAGCAAGTCTGGGGAGGCAGCCAAGAAGACGAGCACCTGCATTAATAATTTTTAACGAGATGAACACCTGCATTGTAAGGTTAAAACGTGGCCAGATAGCCTCTTGTTTGTCAAATGTGTAATTAATGATTGTTAAGACAAAGAAACTCAAACTGAGCATGTGAAAATGATGTCAACAATGATGTACAGTTGGGAGGAGCAAGAAGAATATATAAGTCAGAACCCTGTGTTACTCACTGGACATCTGAGCTGACTTTTTGGCTGTATAGTGTCCCTTATTCATAAGAACATAAGAGAAGCCAGTGTTGGATCAGGCCAATGGCCCATCCAGTCCAACATTCCATCACACAGTGGCCAAAAACACCAGGTGCCATCAGGAGGTCCAGCACTAGGGGGACCAGGACACTAGAAGCCCTGCCATTGTTGACCCCCCCCAAGCACCAAGAATACAGAGCATCACTTGCCCCAGACTGAGAGTCCCTATCTATACCTTGTGGCTAATAGGGGCCACTGATGGATCTGTGATCCGTATGCTTATCTAATTCCCTCTTGAAGCTGTCCATGCTTGTAGCTGCCGCCACCTCCTGTGGCAGTGAATTCCATGTGTTAACCACTCTTTGGGTGAAGAAGGACTTCCTTTTATCCGTTCTGACCTGACTGCTCAGCAATTTCATGGAGTGCCCACAGAGTTCTCGCATTGTGAGAAAGGGGGAAAAGTACTTCTTTAGCGACCTGCTCTATCCCATGCATAATCTTTTTTAAAAATATTATTGTTGTTGTTGTTGTTGTTATTATTTTGGCCCCCCAAAGGGGATTTTTTAATTGCTTTTCTAATAACTACAAACAGAAAATTAGGATAGGAAAACTACAATCTAAGGGAGAAAGTAAAGAAAACCCTCTAAAAATCCAAGAGATGGTGATCATACATACATTTGCAAAATTCCCATGCAGAATCTTGTAAACCTCGATCATGTCATTTCTCCAAGCTAAAGAGCCCCAAGCATTTTAACCTTTCCTCATACGGAAAGTGTTCCAACCCTTTTATCTTTCGAGTTTCCCTTTTCTGCCCTTTTTCCAAAGCTATAATATCCTTTTTAAGGTGTGGTGCCCAGAACTGCACACAGTATTCCAAATGAGGTCTCACCATTGATTTATATAGGGGCATTATTATATTGGCTGATCTGTTTTCAATACCCTTCCTAATAATCCCCAGCATAGCATTTGCCTTCTTTATTGCAGTCACACACTGTCTCGACATTTTCAGTGAGTTATCTACTACAACTCCAAGATCTCTCTCTTGATCAGTCTCTGCCAGTTCAGACCCCATCAATGTGTATTTATAGTTAGGATTTTAGTGTTGGATCCAGTAAGGATTTTAGTGTTGGATGAGTGTTGGATCCGTTCCAATCTGGCTTCCACCCTGGGCAACAGGATGGAGACAGTGCTGGTAGTCCTCACAGAGTATCTCCACAAACAGCTGGATCAAGATGATATTACTCGATCTTACAGTAGCATTCAACATGGCCGACCATGATCTACTGACCCACCACCTTGCCAGCACTGGAGTCTGTGGGGTAGCCATGCAATGGTTCACCTCATTCCTCCATGGCCAGGAACAGGGAGTGGCGCTGGGAGAGACACTGTCCCAAGTCACCCGCTAGTATGTGGAGTTCCTCAGGAGCACTTCTCTCCCTGATGTTAACATCTATATTCACCCCCTCACCCAGCAGGCGCAGAGTTTCGGGCTGGGATGTCATAAGTACGCTATTTCTGTTGATGGCTGAAGAAGAAAAAGAAGAAGAGTTGAATTTATACCCCACCCTTCACTCGGAGTTCTCCCCATGACACCCTGTGAGGTAGGTGGAGCTGTGAGAGCTCTGAGAGAACTGTGACTGACCCAAGGTCACCCAGCTGGCTGCCTGCGGAGGAGTGGGGAATCAAACCCGGGTATTCCCAGATTAGAGTCCTAATGCTCCTAACCACTACACCACACTAGTTCTCCAGTACTGGCTTGGCCAGTAGGGTGGTTAAAAGCAGAGTCGGTTGAACCTGAATCCTGGTAAGATAGAGGTTCTCTGGCTGAGTGGGGGGAGTGACGGTTGGGTAGCTAACTCCTGACTTTTGATGGAGTGTCCCTAACATCAGCATCAACCATCAGGAGTCTGGGTGTGACTCTGAGGCCCAGGTCCCAAAGGTTGCTAGGCTGGTGTTTCTCCAACTGTGCCCGGTCAAGCAACTGGCTCCCTACCTGCCTCGTTCTGACCTATCCATGATAATCCATGCGGCGGTCAACTCCAGTATAGACTACTGTAACTCACTCTATGTGGGTCTACCCTTGAAACTGACCCGGAAGCTCCAACTGATCCAGAATGCAGCTGGATGGGTTTTTATGGGGACCCCTTGGATGGGACACATTGAACCTGTTCTGCATGAGGTGCACTGGCTTCCGGCGGAGCACCGGATCAGGTTCAAGGTTCTTTTGACCTTTAAGGCCCTTAGTGGTCAGGGACCCACATACCTTCAGGACCGGTCCCTGGCCCTAGAGAGAGAGAGAGATCTGGCGGTCCTCAACCAGGGCCGGGGCTTTTTCAGCCTTGGCCCCGACCTGATGGAACAAAAAGCTCCAAACGCAGATTACAGTCTCATGGTAATTAAACATCCACAGCATCCAACAATACATTTATTAATGATAAAATGTGTAGAATTACAAACCATGCGAAAAGCACCAGTCTGCCAGCAGAGAAATACAGAGAGATTGAAATGCAACTGGGAGAGGTCCACGCAAAACGACCGAAAACGATAACAGGCAAATTCACACTCGGATGGATCTGAGAGAAACTAAACCACCAAACCACGGCAGGCTGTCAGTCACGGAGACCCCAAGAAGGTGGCCGTCCTGCCCCAGGGAGAGGAGGTGATTATGGGTCACGCATGCAGGTACGTGCCCAGCAAGAGGCCTAGCCGGATGGTGGATTAAGGAGCACAGGGTTGGGGCAGGGAACCCCGGCTCCGGCAGTGTGTGGTGGACTCCGAGTGAGGCGTCGCTGGACAGAGCTAAGACTGAAGAGGAGTTCTGTGGCGCATCAAAGACTGACAGAAGCTTGTTCCAGCAGCAGCTGGTGTGGCCGAGAGAGAGGCGGCGGCCTCTAGCGCACCAAACGATGCAGACCTGTTGTTATTCCATTAGTCTTTAAGGAGCCTTCCTGGTTGTTTTGGATGCAGGAGAATAGCACAGCGACCTCTCTGGGGTTATTATCACGGATGTGGAGTCCTTCAGTCACTGTCTGGCCTAGCCAGCGACTGTTCTGCTCTTGGTCACAGGGAAAATCGCTGCCCGACGTGGTTTGCAGGGCCTGAGGAACAGCAGGGGGATTCAGAAGATGCCTGCTGAGAGGAAGCATCCAGGACGTTGACTGGGAAGACATCATTCCATTCCGTACACGTGAACTCTACGAACTCTTAGCACTGGTATGGTTTGCTGCTGGTGCCGTGGACTTCCACTTCGCCTAGAGCCAGGTTTGTTACGTGGCCCGCGATGGCGATGGTTATGTAGCGGCCCCGGGCTCCGTTGCACAGCACAGTGGAGAGGGATCCCTCTCGGAGGTCTGTGATGGTCCCACATCTGTGGGGGGAGAAAGAGGGTCAGCCATGCAATGGCATGAGTTCCTAATGGATCAGCCTCCAGGAATGGGGGGACGCACGGCTAGAAATCCCTTCCAGTGTAGCCGGCATCACTAGTCAGGCAGGCAGCCTTTACTGACAGATAGAATAAATAGGTTAAAACAAATACAATAATATTAAAAAGGAAATGAATATGGAATTTCAATTAAAAGGATATACCAACAAATTGTTCCTCAAGCTTATCATGGCGCAGTTTTATAGCACGTGGCAAGAAAGTTGCCACCTTCTCCAGTACATCAGGAGAGAAGTCATTCAAAAGACGAAGGACCTTAGAGGAATCAGGAAGAAGAAGGAGGAGGAGGAGGAGGAGGAGGAGGAGGAGATTGGATTAATGCCCCACCCTTCACTACCCAAAGGAGTCTAAGAGGGGCTTACAAACTCCTTTTTCCTTCCCCTCCCCACAACAGACACCCTGTGAGGGAGGTGGGGCTGAGAGAGCTCTGGCAGAAACTGCTCTTTTTCAAGGTCAGCTCTTATCAGAACTACGGCTTGCCCAAGGTCATCCAGCCAGGTGCAAGTGGAGGAGTGGGGGATCAAACCCGGTTCTCCCAGATTAGAGTCCACACACTTAACCACTACACCAAACTGGCTCTCTACTGTCTTGTTTACCAAGTGTCAAGGTCAGGATCATTGGACTTGCTTTGTAGTTACTTTTGATTTCAGCCTTTCTGGTTCTTATCAATGTCATGTGGCAATCCTGGGGGGGGGGGGCTTGTAACTTTCTCAAAGGGAGCCCCAAGATAGTTTCCCAGGAGACCGTCCCTGGAGAGTCTGTATGCCAGGCTAGCTTAGATAGGCCAACCTTATATCTGTCCAGGTTGTTACAGAAACGCCATGATTTAGGTGTGACGTGTGAATGTGTGGAATTTGGGGTTTTACCTATATCTTGTAGTTTTCCGCCTTTGGCTTCAGTCCTAACAAAAGCTCTTGAACCTACAGCAATATCATATCTCTAATAAAGCATTACACTGCCAATAGTGTGTGTGGAGAGTGAATTAACTGGGGACCTGACACCTGACACTCTGCCTCGTGAGATGGTGGATGCTCCTTCACTGGACGTTTTCAAGCAGAGGCTGGACGACCATCTTTCGGGTATGTTGTAGGGCTATTATCTTCCGGCTCTGCTCCTGCAGAGTGCAGGGGGTTGGACTAGATGACCTGCAAGGTCCCTTCCAACTCTAGCATTCTATGATTCTATGATAAGATAGGGCTTAAATGTTTAGAACAAATAGCTTCCTAAAAGGGACAAAAAAAGAAAATATGTGAAATTGTTTCAGTGCTACCTATATTACAGTGTTCCTTCCTGTCTAGTTGGCTATCAACATGCTAGACCATCTCCATTGGGTTTGTTGAAACAGCCTCCTTGCCAGGAACAGATTGATCTTTGGCCCACTGAAACACAAGCCCTCAGCACAGCATGGTGGGTTGCCAACCCTCCAGGTGGCACCTGGAGACTTCTCACTATTGCAACTGATTTCCAGATGACCAAAATTAGTTCCCCTGGAGAAAATGGCTGCTTTGGAGGGCCCCTCCCCTCCCCATGCTCCACCCCCCAAAAATAAATCTCTGAGAATGTCTCAAGCAACTCTACGAGGACTAGAATCTCCATCTTGCTTTAGCAGCAGGATCTTTACGTCTCAACTGCATATGCTTCAACCTCATTATACTTCAGCTGCATCTCTGCCTTGAAATGGTGGACAAAGTACACCATTTTAGAGGAATTCCAAACTGTGTATCTGGGGGGAACGTGCTGTAGAAAGGGGGGACTGAGACGTATGTGAGACTTACGTGGAGCTGGTTTTGCTAAAGTCACCCGTGTGGTCTCCCACATGGATCGTGGCTCCCTGGGTTCTCTCTCCACAGCAGTCCTGCCGGATTTTCACCACCACGACGGAGATGTCATATTCTTCACCCAAGTCCACTGACCACCAGGGACTGAGCTCATGATTGGTGTGGGTGCAGGACCGAGAGCTCCATCGCCCATCACAGTTCCCGTCCACGGCGTAGCTGGACATTCCCGTGATCCCATCTGTGTGTGTGTACGTGGAGGACTGTGAGGTTGGCCGACCTCTGGCCAAGTTAGGACCTAGAGTAGGAGCATGACAAAAATGGGGAGAAGTGGTCAGGATCCGCTGCCTTTGACAGACTAGAAGAGGGGACGCCTGCACCTTTGGGCACCAGGCACTGAGCTCATGATTGGTGTAGGACCGTGCGATCCATTGCCCATCACAGTTCCGGTCCACGGCACAGCTGGACATTCCTCTGACATCCCATTTGTTTCATTTTTGTGTATTGATAAGGACTACTGTTGCGTATTGATAAGGACTACTACTAAGGAGCACATTGATAAGGACTACTACTAAGGAGCACATCTGCGCTAGCAAGACCATGCGGTCTAGCACACCT